GAAGGAGAAGGGATGAGAAGAAGGAAAAGGAGAAGGATGAGAAGATGGAGAAGGAGAAGGATGAGAAGAAGGAGAAGGAGAAGGATGAGAAGAAGGAGAAGGATGAGAAGAAGGAGAAGGATGAGAAGAAGGATGAGAAGAAGGAGAAGGATGAGAAGAAGGAGAAGGAGAAGGATGAGAAGAAGGAGAGGGATGAGAAGAAGGATGAGAAGAAGGATGAGAAGAAGAAGGATGAGAAGAAGGACAGTTCTGTGACAGTTTTCTGTCTATTTCTGACAGTTCTGGGACATTCACTCCATACAGCGGTTTCAACCGCTGTATGGAGGGAATGTCATAAAACTGTCAGAAATAGACTATTTATGACAGTTCTGGGACATTCCTTCCATACAGCGGTTGAAACATTGTATCTATTTGTTTCCATAAATGGATCCATTTATGGAAACAAATAGATACAATGTTTCAACCGCTGTATGGAAGGACAGTCCCAGAACTGTCATTAATAGTCTATTTCTGACAGTTCTATGACATTCCCTCCATACAGCGGTTGAAAACCGCTGTATGGAGTGAATGTCCCAGAACTGTCAGAAATAGTCTATTTCTGACAGTTCTGGGACATTCCCTCCATACAGCGGTTTCCGGCAAAAAGTGTATGTGCAGAGTTCCTCTATTCTGCAGATACATTTAGAGGAGCTCTGCAGATACACTTAGAGGAGCTCTGCACATACACTTTTTGCCGGCTTGGAATTATTCTTATTTTCATCCTACTTCTTCTTCTTCTTCTTCTTCATCCTCATCCTCATCCTCTTCTTCTTCTTCTGAGGAAGGATGAAGAAGAAGAAGAAGAAGTAGGATGAAAATAAGATTAATTCCAAGCCGGCAAAAAAGTGTATGTGCAGAGCTCCTCTAAGTGTATCTGCAGAGCTCCTCTAAGTGTATCTGCAGAATAGAGGAACTCTGCACATACACTTTTTGCCGGCTTGGAATTATTCTTATTTTCATCCTACTTCTTCTTCTTCTTCTTCATCCTCATCCTCATCCTCTTCTTCTTCTTCTGAGGATGAGGATGAGGATGAAGAAGAAGAAGAAGTAGGATAAAAATAAGATTAATTCCAAGCCGGCAAAAAGTGTATGTGCAGAGCTCCTCTAAGTGTATCTGCAGAGCTCCTCAGTGTATCTGCAGATTAGAGGAACTCTGCACATACACTTTTTGCCAGCTTGGAATTATTCTTATTTTCATCCTACTTCTTCTTCTTCTTCTTCATCCTCATCCTCTTCTTCTTCTTCTGAGGATGAGGATGAAGAAGAAGAAGAAGAAGAATGTAGGATGAAAATAAGATTAATTCCAAGCCGGCAAAAAGTGTATGTGCAGAGCTCCTCTAAGTGTATCTGCAGAGCTCCTCTAAGTGTATCTGCAGAATAGAGGAACTCTGCACATACACTTTTTGCCGGCTTGCAATTATTCTTATTTTCATCCTACTTCTTCTTCTTCTTCTTCTTTTCTTCATCCTCTTCTTCTTCTTCTGAGGATGAGGATGAAGAAGAAGAAGAAGAAGAAGAAGTAGGATGAAAATAAGATTAATTCCAAAAAGGCAAAAAGTGTATGTGCAGAGCTCCTCTAAGTGTATCTGCAGAGCTCCTCTAAGTGTATCTGCAGAATAGAGGAACTCTGCACATACACTTTTTGCCGGCTTGGAATTATTCTTCTTTTCATCCTACTTCTTCTTCTACTTCTTCATCCTCATCCTCAGAAGAAGAGGATGAGGATGAGGATGAAGAAGAAGAAGAAGAAGAAGAAGTAGGATGAAAAGAAGAATAATTCCAAGCCGGCAAAAAGTGTATGTGCAGAGTTCCTCTATTTCTGACAGTTCTCTCACAGCTTCTTCACATGTACAGCGGTTGAAACATCTGTATCCTAAATGGAAACTAATAGATACAAATTGTATCTATTAGTTTCCATTTAGGATACAGATGTTTCAACCGTGTACATGTGAAGAAGCTGTCAGAGAACTGTCAGAAATAGAGGAACTCTGCACATACACTTTTTGCCGGCTTGGAATTATTCTTCTTTTCATCCTACTTCTTCTTCTTCTTCTTCATCCTCATCCTCATCCTCATCCTCTTCTTCTGAGGATGAGGATGAAGAAGAAGAAGAAGTAGGATGAAAAGAAGAATAATTCCAAGCCGGCAAAAAGTGTATGTGCAGAGTTCCTCTATTTCTGACAGTTCTCTCACAGCTTCTTCACATGTACAGCGGTTGAAACATCTGTATCCTAAATGTAAACTAATAGATACAATGTTTCAACCGCTAAACATGTGTTCCTTCTGTCAGAGAACTGTCAGAAATAGCGGAGCTCACTGCAGGGACACTTTTACCGGCTGATCGGGAAATGTTCGATTCGCGCACCCGAAGTAGGCAAAATTTCGGATTCGACGCGAATCGAATATTTCCTGAAATTCGACTCGAATTCCGGTTCGCCTGGTTCGATTCGCTCATCTCTACTCATATCTATTGTTCCACTGGATCCTTTAATTGGGAAGCACCTCCCCTTTCATTCATCGTGCATGCTCTAAAATGCATAGCAGTGCATTGTGGATCCGAGTGACGTCATCACGCTCCATGGTGCACTCCACCGACACCATGGGATTGATTGGCCGGCTCTCTCTTCCCTGTTCAGAGCCATGATAGGCACTAACAGCGTTTGGATTTGGTTTGGTTTTCTCTACATCTAGAGGAGAGAACATGGGCATATGATGAATCGTGTCTGTGGACCAATATAACTGCAACTCATTCTTAGTAATGCCATGTTGAGTGTTAAACCCAAAAAGCTTTAAATTCGGTTTAGGTTTCCAATTTCGTTTTAGGTTTCCATGCAATTGGTCTGGCAAGGTTTGAATTTGAGTTGGCGGTGATATATTACTGTGCTTATAAACTGTTTTGTTTCAAAATCAAATTATACACTTCATCTGTGAAAAACAGCTAAAAGACAATCAAGGGAAGTAGTTACATTTTCTGTTTCCACCTGAATTCCAGGTTGGGCAGTGAATGGGGGAAGTAGGTGTAGAATTTGTGGGCTACCAATTAGGATTAGCAAGCACATCTGGAAGGACACTATAGGATCTATGGGCCTGTGTTTGAATTCCTGGTGGCTGTTGGACACTACTTGTGCTATCCACCACGCAAGCTTGTACTGCACTTATGGGAGTCGCCACATCACCAAGTGTTACTGCAGTGCTGGTGCGGCCTAGTACATCATGGTATCACCAAAAGGTAGTGCAGCACTAGTACTGGCACTCTGCTGTATAGAGAATCATCATGCAATTCTAACACCTCAGCAACCTGGGAATGGGGTCAAGCATGCCTGACCTTAGCAGGGACCTCTACTCCATCATTTGAGCTATCTGTTAGGCTGCCACTGCTCTCTACAGGTTCGTATTCTGAGCCTGATTTTGTCAGTGAGGCTCCTTCCTTGCTCTCATCTGACATGCTCAGAATCCTGTAGGCCTATTCACTAGAGCACCTTTCATAGGACACTCCAGTCACTAAATTTATAGGTGCCTTGTGCGACTCATGGGAAAAAGAGCACTTGGCTGTCAGGGACTGCTTGAACTGCTTGAAAAATGTACCTGCTGGTGCTAGCAGAGATCAGGCCTGATCTTTCTAACCCTGCAGTTTTGTGTGCAATGTATCAAATGATAGTGATCTACTGACACTATACTTGCTGGGGGGGGGGGGCTAAACGCAGATGCTAGAAGGTGTCCGGGCTGATCCTGCATTTTTGGGAACAGTATACTATTGTGAACATTAGTATAGTTCTGATCTGATCAAAGATATTGATTCGTTCAGACACTATATTAGCAATGGAGGTTTATAGTGATTATGTGAGCGTGTAATTGACAATCAAAGGGTTAAATGTGATGGTAATGTAGTGGCAGGCAATCTGACACTATCTAGGAGGGACTCTAATGATATCTGAAGTCGCCCATGACACTAATACAGTGTTAATGCAGTGATCAGTAAAAAAAATCTGTACACTGTAACAATAAAACTGGTGACAAGGTAGTGAAAAGGTTAACTGGGGGGAGGGGGGTGGGTGACCAGGAGGTTAAGTGTGACCTAGCTGTGCTTTTTCTGTGTGTGTACTGTTTTGACACATGTGGATCTGCTTTTTTTCTCTCTCTGGAATGGAATGTGCTCCGGGGAGAGAAGATTGCATCATTTCCTATGCCCGTATAATGTAAACACAGGCACAGGAATACTTCAGATTCGGTACAGACAATCTGCAGATCCAGCTCACATATTATTGGCCTGGATCTGATGAGTGATTGGTGCTGTATGGAATCACAACACCGCTAGGCCGGCAGGTGCACACCCCCGTGGATCACGTTTAGATTTGATTTTGCACAGGGCGGCCGCCTTTAGCAGTAGGAGGCAGTCACCAAGTGGTTGAACTTAGGACGACACACTTTCACAAAATCCTCAACACATTCTTAACCGCTAGCCTACAGGGCACTTATACCCCCTTCCTGCCCAGGCCAATTTCCAGCTTTCAGCGCTGTCGCAGTTTGAATGACAATTGCGCGATCATGCAACACTGTACCCATATGACATTTTTATCATTTTTTTGTGACAGATAGAGCTTTATTTTGGTGGTATTTAATCACCTCTGGGTTTTTTATTTTTTCTTAAACAAACCAAAAACCACTGAAAATTTTGAAAAAAAAAGTTTTTTCTTAGTTTTTGTTATAAAATTTTGTAAATAAGTGATTTTTCTCCTTCACTGATGTGTGCTAATGAGGCTGCACTGATGGGCACTGATAGGCTGCACTGATGGACACTGATAGGTGGCACTGATGGGCACTGATGAGGAGGCACTGGTAGGTGGAACTGATGGGCATTGACAGGCATCACTGATGGGCACTGAAAGGCAGCACTGATACATGCCACTGATAGGCAGCACTGATAGGCGGCACTGACTGGCACTAATAGGCAGCACTGACTGGCACTGATAGGTGGCACTGACTGGCACTTTTAGGCGGCACTGACTGGCACTGTTAGATGGCACTGATAGGCAGCACTGACTGGCACTGATAGGCGGCACTGACTGGCACTGATAGGTGGCACTGATTGGCAGCACTGATAGGTGGCACTGATTGGCATTGATAGGTGGCACTGACTGGCACTGATGGGTGACACTGAAAGGCAGCTCAGATGGGCACTGATATGTGGCATTGATGTGCACTGGTAGGCACTGATATGTGGCACTGATGGGCACTGGCACGAGGCACTGATGAGCACTGACATAAGGCACTGATGGACATTGACAGGTGGCACTGCTGGGGCTACACTGATCATCAGGGCACACTGATCATCAGTGCCCTGATGATCAGTGTACATGTCCCCTCCGCGGAAAGCCGATTACCGGCTCTCCTCTTGTGCTCAGCGTGACAGCTCGAGAGGAGAGAAATGCCGATAACCTGCATTTCCTTGTTTACATGTGATCAGCTGTGATTGGACATAGCTGATCACATGACCGAGCCGACATCTTCGGCTCTTTCCGTGATCGGTGATCCGCTGTGTCCTGAGGGACACAGCGCACCGCCGATCGCCGCGCTGCACGCTCCCTGAGCCGTGCATGCGCAGTGAGAATGGGAGGATGTCATATGATGTCCTCCCAGAACGAGAGAACCACCTTGCGCCGTCATATTACTATATATGGTGGGCGGGAGGTGGTTAAAGAATTTCAATCATATTACAACAAACTTTATCAGAAACCTTCAAGTAACTTTACGGTTTCCCTCCAGAAATTCTTAGACAAAATGCATCTCCCAAGGCTCTCTTTACAACACACAGAAATCATGGACAAACCTTCCACATATGCTGAAATTTCTCAGGTTATTAAGACACTTAAATCAAATAAGTCTCCGGGACCTGATGGCTAACCAGATATTATAAAAAGATCTTTCAATACCCCATTTATTTTTATTTTTTTTATCCAAAACAATTTTTATTGGAGTATAACAACAAATACAAATAAAGTACTGCAACGTATAAGTAAGGTATACATCAAGGGTATTTGCAATACAACTAATGGTCAAAACTTCAGATTAGGGTATATGTTTTTCTTTTGATAACAACTCAAATGTCTGAAAGTTAGAGAAACATGGACAACAATAGTCAATGAGATTGTTACAGAAAATCCTACAAACGTGTGATAGTTTTATATTTCAGCTATCTAAGAAAAGGCAATTTTGTTCTAAAAGGAGAAAACAGAGCATATATTAGTGTAATCCCCAAATAAAAAAAACCTTGCAGAAATATCAAATTACAGACCAATTTCCTAAATTAACTGTGACCTTAAAATTCTTACAAAAACTTAAGCGTTGTAACTAAACCCCTTTTTTAGAACACTATATTCATAAAGACCAATCAAGATTTATCAGATATCAACAAACGTCGGCTCAGATACAACGATCATTAACCTCTTGCCGTCCACCTGCTGTTTATATAAACGGCAGGGCGGTTAGTCCAAGGTCGGGGTTGCCGTTCCTAAACGGCACCCGCCTTTTCTAGCTGTGCGCGCTCCCTAGGAGCGCGCACCACCGCGATCCGGTGTCCGCTGTGTCCTCCGGACACAGTGAAACACCGATCGTCGGACGGGACCTCTGCACGAGGTCCCGGTCATGTGATCACTGATTGGCGAATCAGTGATCACATGCAAAGTAGTAAGCAAGATGTCACTTGTGACATCATTGCTTACTACGTGTGAAATCTGTGAATGATCACAGAGGTCACATGGTACAAGGCTATTCACAACAGTTACCATGTGAAAGCTGTGACCAATCACAGCTCACTCAGTATTTCTCAATGACTGCAAGAATGCAGACAGAGAGAAAGAGAAATGATTGCTTTTACATCCTATATGGGTGTAAAAGCAATCAGTGTAAAAAAAAAAAAAAAAAATCTTCATCACCCCCCACAAGTAGTACAGTGTCACCATGGTGACACTGTACTGCTAGGGTGACAGTATGTAAAAAAAAAAAAATAAAAATAAAAAATAATATAAAAAAAAATAAAATAAAAATGTAAAAAAAAATGTTTTAAAAATTATAATGTTTGGTTATAAACTAATTTGGATTTTTTTTTTTACTGTAAAAAAATAACGGAATAAATTTTGGACAAGATTTAGGATGAAATATTATTTATTTGCAACATTTTATAAAAAAAAAACACTTTTTTTCAAAATTTTTGACTTTTTCATTTACATAGTAAAAAAAATAAAAAATCCCAGCGGTGAATAAATACCACCAAAATAAAGCTTTATCTGTCTGGCTATTCATATGGGTACAGTATTGCATGACCGCGCAATTGTCATTCAAAGTGTGATAGCGCTGAAAGCTGAAAATTGCCCTGGACAGGAAGGGGGTAAAAGTGTGTCGGGACAGGAAGTGGTTAAACCTTCTTACAGCAGTCCATTTACATTGGATCTCCCCACTGATCCATCATCTCTATGCTATGTTTCTGTCATTAGACATTTACAAAGCATTGCAGTTTATCGTGGGATTATTTATTCTTGGTGTTAAAAGCTATGGGGTTCGACCCCTCATTTCTATGCATTATACATGCTTTATACCACCCCCCCCCTCGGCACATGTTCTTCTTAAAGGTTACAAATCAGATTCCATAGTTCCAAAGTTTTCCCCTTTCAGCTCTTTTGTTTGCAATCGCAATTGAACCTTTGGCTATTGCTATACAGTATGTACTCATCCTAATATCAAAGGCAATCATTGTGGACAATACGAACATAAATGTGCACTATATGCAGATGATGTTTTAATGTGCATAACTTCTCTTCATACAACTCTGCCTAATTTACTGAAACTTTTAACCTCTTTTTTAGATGATCAGGCCTAATGGTAAAAATAGGAACAAATCCATTGCTTTAAGTCTCAGTCTCTCTGAATTCACAGTTGTGTTGCTTCGGCAAAACTTTGACTTCCAATGGGCCCCTCATTCTCTTTCTTATCTAGCGACTCATTTGACCTCCTCCCTACATGCCCTCTACTCAGAAAACTATCTTCCTATGTTTAGAAGACTTTCAAAAGATATGAAATGGTCAGGACCATATCCTTCTTGGTTTAGGAAGATTTCTTCAGTTAGGATTTTACACCTCTTTCGGAATTTCCCCATCATTATTTCTAGGCGAGACCTTTTGATATTTAAATGAAAAGTTGAAAAGTATTTGGGGAAACAAGCACCCTAGAATTAATAAAATGACAGTTTACACTCTGAAGACACAGGGAGGCCTGGGTGTCTCTAGTTTAGTCGCCTATCATTAAGCAGTTCAATTAGTTCAGTGAGCACTCTGTACAATTCCTGGCCAGAATCCATATTGGGTTGACATGGAAGCCCTTTCATGCTCCAAAGGAACGATTGCAACTATGATGTGGATTCCTAGTAGATTTCGGCCCCCTATTCTATGTCCTATGCTTTCATTCATATTATCAATATGGGACAGGTATAAGATGAGCAAGAAATTCTGTTCATCTCATACGCCTTTACTTCCTCTATTTAATAATCCTGAATTCATACCAGGATTATTCTGAGAAAGTTTTCAATGGTGGGGGGGTATAAAGGTTTCTTACCTATAGAACACTATCTGGAGATGAATTATACTTACTTGACTATTAAAAATATGTATTACACCTACCTTTCTCAGAATTATCCCAATACAAGCAAATCATTTTCATATTTGAAAAATAAACCTAGTAAGATTAATCAACCCCTATTATTATCCCTCTTTCAAAAATCTTGTACTACTAGGACTCCAGTGAAAGGCCTTATCTCTATTATATATGGTTGTCTAACTGATCCTGCATGCAAGCTCCCCTATATGGAACTCTGAGAGATAGATCTCATTATTTCTTGGGAACTCTCAGATTAGCATGCTACAATCAATAATCTTTCTAAAATATTGATCTACATGGCCTTGGAGGAATTTAACTTAAAAACACCATTGTGATGGTATATGGTTCCATCAAAGATTGCTAAAATAAATCGGTAAGCCTCCTTTAGATGTTTTAGAAATTGTGGTCAAGAAGGAACTATGGTATATATTTGGTGGCGATGTCCCAAGATATGCAGATTTTGAATCAAAGTGTTTGACTTTATCCAATTGATTACAGGTGTGAATTTTGTTTGGTCCCTGGAAATTGCTTTTTTCAGAAATTTTATAAAAACCTCCCTAAACATACTAAAATTTCAATTTCATATATAATCCTGACACTTGAATAGACATTGCACGTTTTTGGAATCAATCAGTAGTAAGGTTTGACTATGTTAACCAAAAGTTGAATTGGATCATGATTAACCACTTGCCTACCGGGCACTTTTACTTCCTTTGTGCCCAGGCCATTTTTCAGCTTTCAGCATGCTTACACTTTGGATGACAATTGTGCAGTCATGCAACACTGTACCCAAATTAAATTTTTGTAATTTTTTTCACAAACATAGAGCTTTCTTTTGGTGGCATTTAATTGCCACTGGGTATTTTATTTTTTGCACTGCAAACAAAAAAATAGCAACAAATTTGAAAAAAAAAAGTTTTTATTTATTTCTATGATAACATTTTGCAAACAGGTAATTTTTCTCCCTCACTGATGTGCGTTGATAAGGCTGCACTGATAGGCAGTACTGATGGGCACTGATAGGCAGCACCAGTGGGCACTGATGAGGTGGCACTGATAGGCAGCACTGATGGGCACTGATAAGCTGCACTGATGGTGGACATTGATGAGGAGGCACTGATGCTGCTGCACTGATATGCAGCAATGATGGGCACTGATAGGTAACACTAACTGACAGCACTGACTTATGGCACTGATGGGCAGCATTGCTGGGCACTAATGGGTGCAACTGCTGGGCAGCACTGCTAGGCATCACTGATGGGTGGCTCTAATGGGGGCATTGTTGGGTGACACTGATGGGCACTGATGGGTGGCACTGCTGGGCACTGATCATCAGGACACTGATGATCAGTGCCTATCTGTTTTGTAACATTTGCTGGTTATCGGCAGTACTTTCCTCACGGTGTGACAGCATGAGGAAAGTGCAGCCAATAACCGGCAACTGTGTTTGCTCGGTGATCTGCTGTGTCATTGGACACAGCTGATCATGTGGTAAAAGGCCTCTGTGATTGGCCTTTTACCTCATCATGTGATCAGCTGTGTCTGTAGGACACTGCGATCACAGAGAGCGCCGAGTGCGCACTGCTGGGGCGCGCGCAGGAGGGCACATTCTGGGAGGATGTCATATGGTGCCCTACCAGAACTGGACAACTGCGCTGTAGCCGTCATTTGGCTATAGCACGGTTGTGAAGTAGTTAGCGATAAAATGACCTGCACCTTACATAACCACCAAGCTAAATTTGATAAAACTTGGCAACCCTGGTTACATTAGTTACCTATAGATAATTAGGATTGAGACAACAAAATTGTCAGGAATGGACTCAGCACTGGTGGTGGGACTCCCCTGCCGTGTGGGCTGCAGTACCAGAGCTGACCAGCGGGTGCTCTCAGCACTGGTGGTGGGACTCGCCTGC